TTGTTAACAGGAAAAGGTAACTTTTTGCAGATAAAGTCTTCTGCCCAGCAGGTTTGCCTGGATGCCTTGCCTTCTCATAAATTGAAATTGAGCTGTGTTCCCTGTCCACATTTTGGTTTTAATCAAGGACTGTCATGTCTGTACTCCTCTGGTACTCTCTATGGCCAAACGCAATCCTTTTATCATGATATGTCAGAGCAGCATTATTGTTAATAGGACGTTAAACAAAATCAAACAAACAAACAAACAAAAGCATTATTGAATGATTCCACATAATGAGTATCTATACAGTGAACATAGTCAGGTGCACTCTTGTAAATTTAAAGTCCACTGTCTTTTATTATGTATTTTGTAGGGATGTAATTTTCATATGTCCTACATCTTGAAGTGTCTAAACATTTGCCATGATAATGTTTGTAATGTTCAACAACATTTACGAGAATTTCTTTCAATTTTTCAGCAGATTTTCCGCTTTTTTTCATTGCGTAATAGCAATGAGTTTAGATGGCCCCCTGCTTTGTCTGAAAGTTCACTTAGCCACGTAACTCCATGCATCTTTTTTGGTCCCGTTGTCACTACCTTCAGCACTTTCGTAATGCCTTTTGTGGCATGCCAAATGTCATTTGCATTTGTCACAGTAGGTTGCTAAGTGTTCAGGTATTTGTAGATGTGTTACCCCGAGTTCGTGGCTGAAGGCGCACAGTAATACCTGAGGAGAGACAACAGACACTGCAGTCTTCAACGGAAATATTTTAATGACGCAATCAATAATACAATACATATAATACAACAGGTGTGCTTACAAAGCAACATAAACATGTTCCCTAATCCTGACTTACCCAATGGGGTTCAAGTTATAGCTACCAGTTATAGATACACTCTTAATTAGACATTGCACAACTCCAGCTACTTTACACACAGTAAAAGTCTTAGTTGAACACAGATCCCTATCCAACCTCTAAGTCATCCACATTACAGCCTAGTACAACATGTTACTAAATGTTACTAAGTTCACCTGATGTGTAACTACACCTTCACTTCATAACTGAGTAAACTTGACATAACTGTAGCACCAAGGAACATTCCTATTGCTATACTGCATCATTGTAACCAAAATGTAACAAAAATGTAACTAACCAACTCTACTGTGGCTTACGTGTAACTAGGGAACTTGCAGGTAGATTGTAGGACCTTAAAAATAGCCGGAGTTATCCTTGAAGTTAAATTGGGTTTATCTCTGAATATAATATTTATGCCGGCTAGTAATTTCACCACTTATCATTACAATAACTGTACAATACTAATTTACAAATATTTAGAAAATAATAGCATATGTTACAGTTCAACATGTATCGTAATAGTTTCAAGTTCACAATTTAACATTTGTCGCGAATAAAATATACAACAACAATAATGTTATTATAGTTCCACGATTAATTACCAATAACATTTTTTAGCAACAATAAAAATACCTAACTGAGAAACTAGCTAGCAACTACAAACACCGTCAAATACTGTTTGGCTGACTAGACTATTCTGACTAGGACTTCACAATATTGCAATTCACATGAACACAATTTAATCAGTAAAATCACTCTAATGTGTTATTACCTTTTATGGAGAATGACTGTCACTTTAATAATTATATAGAAAAGTCTTGTTGACATATCCAAAATCATATTATTGTTTATCACGGAAATCTGAATATTTAGAGATTCCACCCAACAGGGAATTATGGGTAAAACCGCATGGTGTACATGTCCTATATTATGACCCAAAGTTAATATTTTCAGACAACATTAAAACTTATCTAAATATCAAACACTCACTAAATATTAACGAATAGTGTAGTTTTACTCATTAATAAAATAACACGAAACTCGATTTACAATGACTTATCGCAAATTTCACATTCTACATTCGACCTTCAATGGCTGGCCCAGCGGCCTTGTAGTTTACACAATTCGCTAAATTTTAAACACATTTAAGCTAAATCAAATAACGCATTCTTCATATACATCATGGAAAATTCGTCAACCATATGACTTCTAGTAATAATATATACATTCTTACCAACCATCAAACGCTTATACCGGCTGTAATTATCACTTACCTGAGGATAGACAAACAAACAATGCAGTCTTCAACGGAAATATTTTAATGGTGCAAGTACGTGACGTCACTAAAATATATATAAAATATATAAAATATATAAGAAATACGACTTATCTCCCCTGGTCTATAATTTGACCGTAATTCTCAAAACTCGGATAATTGGCTATTGACAATTTTTATTGGGTACCTTATTTCACAGGGTACATTTAACACAAGGTCACATTCTCCACCTCAAACAAAATGTTGTCCCTTCACATTTTAAAACAAAATCATAATAATACACTTCAAAACTGGACAGTTAATAATGAGCACTTGACATATCTGCTATTAAGCAGTTTATCTTGTAGCAATATTATAATACAGTAAATGCATAGCTATGCACAATTCAAAAACTCGAGTTGATCAGGCTCTAGCTTCTAGGCCAATTAAATAATCAATTAAATAACCACTGTAAACACCTTACTACAACGACTTTATCAAGTGAGTAGTGCATGGCACTTTTCAATATCGCGATACCTCCCAGATTTCCTTTCGCAGAACTAACAACTTCTTTTCTGCTGACTTTAATAATCCCCGATTCCCTTTGCAGAACTAATATTTATATATGTATATATATATATATATATATAAATGACACCTTTTCTGCCTACTTTGGACTTTTGACTATTTCTCTTTTAAACCGAGAACTACCACTAATACTGCTCAATTAACATAACTCTCTGTATCAATGGCTAGCTAGTCTATAACAATAACAAAACTTTAACGATTTAAAACTCCACAACCTCAACAATTTCCCAGTTCTACCTTCCTAACCGTAATCACCACCCTAAACCCGAGAGTAACAGGGGTCACCCAGGGAGTCGTAGGTTAACCTTTTTGGAGCATGATGTGCCCTACCCTGTCGACCACTGCCCGGAAATTCCTCCTCACTGGAGTCTGACTGCTCCGATGATTCATCCATTTGAAGATCGGGTACAGTACCAATATCATCCGCCGACTGCGAAAAAGCCTGACATTCCTCTCGCAATAAAGCTTGTACTGACTCCTGCTGTTGTAGTGTTAATTGACAACCATTCAAGTCAATTTCAGGATCCCAGTGATCGCTTAGGTCATCGTGATCTGGTTTCTCGACACTGTCAGGGCAATTTGACGGAGTTGTCTTCTCATGATCAACAGTAGAATTGACTTCCATCTGTCCCAAATTAACTACCGCACAAATCGGTTCGATATCACTAAGTCTCTTTTTTGACAGACGAAGTCCTTCCCGCTTTATCTTCACTAACATCTCAGGACAATCTAAACCTTGGTTCTCCTTCTCCAGTGAGGGTACAAAGAGAGCTTGGCTCACTGCTTGTCCCGTGTCCACGCACCTGAACCTTTAACACCTTAGATGACTTACCCAGTATGGTGATGCTGCGTCGTCCTGTTCTCACTGTTCCGTATGCTTCCGGGGTTGGAACCATCAACTGAACCTCGTTTTTTGCCTCCGATTCTCTCAGCCTGGGTATCACTGTCTTCAAAACTTGGGTTCTGACTCCCTCCGCTAGGCCAGCCGTCATATGCTGAATCACGTTGTAACCTAAAATCGGCCTGTCCAGCCCAGCAGCAGTGGTGACAATGAAAGGCACATATTACATCCAGTTATTATTGGATTCTAGCGATTTGACCAAACTTCCCTCAACTTCAACACATCCCTCTAAGGGAATCCCCGTATTGTTTGCTGCTGTTACTATCAGACTACTCTCATAAATATCCTCAAGTGGTCTAACTTCTAGATTGGGCAACATGTCTCTTAGCCAGTCGGAATGTATCAAGGAGACCTGAACCCCGGTATCCCAAAGAACCTCTGTAGCTACCCCGTTAAAACTAGCAGATACTACACATGTTTTCCCCACAATTTTTACTACCCTTGCATGAGTCTGGGATGTACCGTGTATACCTATCTGACTCACCGTAACCCGCTGCTTACCCTGAACACTCGACAATTGACGAATATATTTGCATATTGCTTTGTGTGTAACCCAATGATTTGTTTGACACTCGGACGAACAATAACAGACGGACGAACAACTTTAAAATTGATAAATATTTTGTGCGGTTGACTTATTTCACAGGGTACATTTAACACAGGATCACAGATGGGTGCATTTCTGTTGTGCCCAAAGATGTTAATATTAACCCCGTTTTCCTAAAAATGGTCATATATTTTTCGTGCTCCTATAAGTTCATATCTCCGACTTACAGGGTTTGGTTTGGTTTTATTAGCTCACCTGGTCCGAAGGACCATGGTAAGCTTATGCCATACCGCAGCGTCCGTCGTCCGTCCGTCAACTTTTCTTTAAAACGCTACTAGTCATGAACGACTGAGCAGATTTTGACCAAATTTGGTCAGAAGCATCCTTGTGGGAAGGGGAACAAATTTTGTTTAAATGGTGGGTGTGGCCCCCCTTGGGGCTGAAGGGCGGGGCCCCATAGGGGAAATATAGCAAATTCTTTAAAATCCTTCTTCTGTAGGAATGAAAGGATTTGTTCCATATTTGGTATGAAGCATCCTTGGGTGAAGGGGAACCAATTTTGTAAAATCCGTGGGTCTGGCCTCCCAGGGGCCTGAGGGGTGGGGCCTGAGGGGCGGGGCCCAATATGGGAAACATAGCAAAATATTCTTTAAAGGTCACCGGAAAATAGTTTTCAACGTTGATTTTTCATTCTGAATCGATGTATTGCTGTTAAAATATGGTATTTACGCAACACCGACTGTTCGGAATTCAACAGGTAAGTTGTTATTTACCTGTAATCTTCCCGTCAAATGAGTTACTTCCCTTGCCCTATGCTGTTGCGTAATTGGTCAATTGCGAATGACGTCACGTTAGGTTAGGGTAGTTGAAGGAAGCCAAGCAAAGCTATACAAAAAGTGCCTACTCGGTACTATCGGTCGAATTTTGAAAGAACTGGTTTTGTTTGACAATGGAGATTGACCCTAGTGAGAATGACGTCGAGTTTACGGTTGCTCCCTATCAGTTTGAGCTAATTTTGGTGGCAACTGACGCAGAAAGCGAGGACATAACAACAAGCGAAGAGGAAAGTGAAAGTGACAGCGCCGCCGGTAACGAGGCCCATGTTCGACAAGTTGATCAATGGTAATATTTTAATCGCACTTCTGAATTACTAAATATATGTAAGCGAATTATTGCTTCGATAACTGGTTCATATCTTTGCAGAGCGACTATGTGGTGGGGACGAAACCTAGCATTATTTTTCACTTCAACTTTGTAAATGTATTTTAGCGGTCGAAGTTCAAACGTGTTAATTTTTCGTCATTTTTTTTCTCATTGCTAAGAAGCATTTCTTTTATTTTTTAGTGTTACATAACAATTAGTTCGCAGAGCTTTTCAGATACGTTATGCATGTATTCTGTTAAATCGGTTCTTGATTGCTATGGTCAGTATGGACCTGTTTTATAACCTAAAATAAATGAGTGACAAATATCATAATTTATATCCACTCCTGCACAACAATAAGCAGTCTGTTTGCATCAGAAATGTTGCCCCCCTCCCCCCTCATTCAAGACATGATAGGATGTAAAATAACCGCTTTTTTAATGAAATTAGTAAAACCCATGTCCATCCCGTGTTTTACTGAGGACAATAATGCACGATTTTAGCTAAGGAAAGCAGACGTACTGGGCTTTAAACCCAGGAGATAAGGGGATATAAATTGTGTATTATTGCTTTCCCTGATACATTTTTACGGATGTTTCTGTCAGAATCAAAAACACACAAAACAATTACTGTCATGACTTGAATGAATTACAAGTCTGGTCTTTTTTTCAACAGTTCTGGCTATAATAGACACATTGTCTGGCATTTCTGATTTCTTACACTGACAAAATCAAACACAAACATTTTTTTTTAAATTTGGATGTGCATTTTATTGTTACACATCAATGTAAATAATTTTCAGTGAATATAAATAAATAACAAAGTATAATCTAATTACAGGTGTGACTGTGGCCACTGTGAACAAATGCCAACTGACTTGGAATGTAGATGTTGCTGCAGTTTCAATCTGTGTCAGTATAAGATGGAACAGGACAACATAAAGTGCATCACAGAACATGAAGGATTCCAGGTGAATTGCCTCAACAGACATGTTCTGGAACTTTCATTTTATGAATACCTTGATAACGATGGACCAATTGGAGATGAGGAGCCAGTTCATGAGTAAGAATTTGTTTTTTAAGCACCGTTACTTTGTTATACTATGCAAAATTAACTGTATAACAAAACTGAATCTCAATTTAAACTTGACAAATATTAATATATGCTTTTAGATTTATATCATCAATGCTATGGAGTTGGTTTTTCTTTCTACAGATTGTCCAAATGTCTCATTTTTTTCTCTCTATTTATTTTAGGCTCTACCGTTACATAGCATATCGCCGATTTGTACGATGGGTATGGCACAGGCCTGGCAAGAAGAACAGAAAAGTACTCCCATCATGTGTGGTGCAGAAGATCAGAAAGACCTTTCCATCAGAGGAATACACAGGGTTTCAATATCCAAGAGACTTATTAGTTTGACTTTCGAAATATGTTTACTGTCTTTTGTTGAAGCGGGACCTGTAGTTTTTCACTGCTTCAGTAACATCTACGCGGTTAGCACGGGCAGCTGGCAAAGGAGGACAGTGTGCAGATTTTATTTTCCTAGCTTTTTCATAGGTTGGGAAATCTTCCCTTAGACTGAAGGCTCGATCGAAGAGCTCTGTGACATAGTCTACAAGAAATAGAACAAAGTATGTAATTAAAACAGGTCAGTGAAGTAATAACTTACTATTCATAATGCAAATAAGATAAAATAAAAGATTTTAATTTATGAGCAAATATGACTTCCTTCATTTGTAAAAATTGTCGTCTTTTCCCACTTATATTTCAAAATTTATGGTATTACAAATATTATAATGTCATTCAGTGGTGCCCGCCCTGCTTACCCTTACTTTTTATGTCTACCTTAAATTTGTTCAAAAAGTTTTCAAATAAGCACTGTTGAAGTCAATGTCACTCTCCTATACAAGCTATATAAATATTGAATAATTTGTTTTATCACTTTACCCTACCATTCTACATTTTATTTCAAAAACGTTACAAGAAACGCACACATTTTTTGTAGTGGCCTCCTTTCTTTGCTTTGGGGTACGACACTTTCCACTTTAGGGCACCATCACTTGTATGAGCCTGTCCACGGTTTGCATTCTCATTGTTATGCAGAGCAGCAATCAAGAGTCTGTATAAGGAAATTTATTTGGAATTGTATTTTCTTTCTCAAATATGCATCACACAATGTACATGAACATTTTAAACACCCCAGTCTCCCAGCTTTAATCCCTCCCATTATAGGTTAAGCGTAGTTAATGACTGTTTGTGCAGTGTTCATGTAAAACGCAAGAAATTTCAGATATATCATGAGCCAGTCAAAAGAGTATGTATGTCTACAGAAAAATCTTGTAACTTATTGTGCAGAATCAGTAGCTGCTGTATATACCTTGCTTTCATGGCATCATAAAAGTAGTGCAACGATTTGGGAACAAACTGGCACACAAGACTGTGGAAGGATTCAAGCTGTGAGGTTTGTTCTCTTGGAGACAGACGTTTGATGTCTTTGGAGATGTACTTGTTGGATACAATAATCTTTAGCTCCTTGTGCACTTTAGAGCCTGTAAAAGAACAAAAATATCATAATTAGGAAACTTATATCAATACTATTTTTAATTAAAAAACACTTTAGCTGACAGCATCATAGCATTGATCAACTGGACAAAGAAATAAAAGCCTGACATATTTTGGTAATTAAAAATGCTAAATAAATAGACCATGATGAGATTCAGTTTACTTCCTACATGAATTCTGGTTAATTCTGAAACAATTAAAAACAATCCTTACCTGGCAGAATCCAGTTTCTTGACTTGTCCAGCGCTGCATGCTGACATGCTGGGAAACGGTCTCCATGGCCTTCATGTTTATCACAGACATGGTTTGAGATGGATTCCCATTTTTGCTCCACCAGCTCACCATCCCCATCACTTGTCGAAGCGGCCCAGTACAAATGGTTAGAAATGGAATGGGCCCAGTCTCCAATCTGCTCGCACCCTTTCTTTTTTGCCAAAGAAACGAGTTTCTTGTAGATGCCTGAAATGAGTCCACAATATATCAATGCACATACAGAACCATCACTAACCATATATATATATATATTTGTGAAGAAATCAAACCCATATTAAATTAATAAAAATTATATATTATATAAGGACAACAGAAATTTGGAAGGGAGACAATTGCTACCATAGCTTGATTTTGGAATACTAATACACCAAATTTACTGTGGAAGCATAACTTTATCAGATAACTAGATCACACTGACTTACATTGTATAAGTATATCATTATTGTTTGCGATGATAAATGCATGAAAACATTTTCACATGCAGATGAAAACATATATGTTCTATATAAATAAATCATGTAACTAATGTACCTTTAGCAACATGCCACACATCAAACCAGTGGTTAATATCAGGCTCTTGTTTCTTCATGTGGCTCTTGACCATGACGTGGCGATCAGTTGTCAAGTCTGTGACCTCTACATTGGCGTCCCGCAACGAATGTAAACACCTCTTCAAGCCTTCCAGTTCCATAATGCATGAATTTTTAACTTCTGTAACCTGAAAAATGTAAAACATCAATAAGGATATACATTTTGTATAACTGATTCTGATTATCTGGCTACACCTTTCAGAAGTATGTAAAAATATTGCCAGATATTTTACATTCATGATTAAGATTAGATTAATATCATTTGATTAATATATTAAAAATTAAACAATGCACTGAAAGATTTTCGGTGAAAAATATCAGGTCTTACAAACAGAGCCTTAGGAATTGATTTAGACAATTACATCCATTTCAAAAGTAGGTACATAAATTTAACATGATTGTTTCTTGCTACCCGACAGACTATTTGTCTTTGGTACTGATTCTAAAATGTTTCATGGCATTCTAGCATGAAAACAGATTTAAATATTCTATTGGATCATGTTNAGTCTGTGACCTCTACATTGGCGTCCCGCAACGAGTGTAAACACCTCTTCAAGCCTTCCAGTTCCATATGGCATGAATTTTTAACTTCTGTAACCTAAAAAATGTAAAACAATCAATAAGGATATACATTTTGTATAACTGATTCTGATTATCTGGCCACACCTTTCAGAAGTATGTAAAAATATTGCCAGATATTTTACATTCATGATTAAGATTAGATTAATATCATTTGATTAATATATTAAAAATTAAACAATGCACAGAAAGATTTTCGGTGAAAAATATCAGGTCTTACGAACAGAGCCTTAGGAATTGATTTAGACAATTACATCCATTTCAAAAGTAGGTACATAAATTTAACATGATTGTTTCCTGCTACCCGACAAAAACTATTTGTCTTTGGTACTGATTCTAAAATATTTCATGGCATTCATCCATGAGAACAGATTTAAATATTCTATTGGATCATGTATATTTTTTTATTTACAAATTTCTCAGTCTAGGCAATACAAAAATATTTGACTGATGCATTCCTTAGGCTTTTCAGAAGAATAATCAAATATTCAAAATATTTGATTTGAAAAAGACACTATAATAGACAATCATACAAATGTATACTTTGTTCTGGTCTAATAATCATGACAGATACAGATATATTTTACACTGTACCTGAACCAGTTCAGTAGCCAAAATTTTGCCAGTTTCCAAGTCCTTCAAGGAATAGCTGGAATACTTTGCTGTGTGTCCTGGGGAGCAATAGCGAGCATCACCACCTGCTTTAACCTTTTTATCCTGCAACAACTGTAGTTCCATTTCCAAGGAGTCCTCCCACACATTGTTTACAGCAGGGATAAGGTAACTGGACTGTATATTCCTATATGTCCTTTCTGTCATACATGCCACATTACACCTAGCCAGCACATTCAAAACAGTCTGGGCACTTCCACCACTGAATAATATACCTGCAGCCAGTACAAAGTTCCCTAGTGGCAGCTTTCTATGAGAGGGCTGGCTGTCCCACTTAAACACATGTCCTCGATCACATTCGCAGTGGAATGAAGCAAAAGAGCCAAGATGGTGCTTCAAATACACCCGACAAAAATGTCCACAAGTCCTACACACAGACAGCAAGTCCTTCAGGTTGGACTCGAACACAATGTACTTCCTCTCCAACATCGGATTTCCGGTGTCAGTGTCTGTAATGTCTCTGTAAAAGATAAGGGAAGATCATTAACAAGTGTTCAAAAAGGCATAAAATCATTTAGTGTCAAAACAAGCAATTGTTTTTCTTATATGAGAAAGCAGAGTAGCAAATTTCCCTTCAATGTTTTTTCAAGCAAGGGGAATAACTCCATTAAAGAGGGAGGTTACTCGATTTTATATATTTATTTTTCGACATTCTATTGCTACAAATGTAACGTATCAAGTATCATTCAAATCGCTCAGTACTACAATTTACAAACAACATAGTATCAACCAGATTCAGGATAAATGTGTACAATACTAATCCCACACCTTCCGACTTCATTGCAGAGTATAAATAGAAGGAAATGGGCAATTATTATTTAAGAACAACATTGTATGTCTATTCTGTCTCAGGCTTACATTGATAAAATGAAATTAATTAATATGCCTTATAAATTACATCTTGATGCCTTACATAAACAATGTTTATACACATTGGGAATAAAACTCACAGGTCATCAAGTGTAATGTTCAGGTCATCATCAGAGTTATCAAAATCAGCATGGTCTGGTGTCCACTCATCATCAGTTTCAGTATCACTACCATCAGCACTTATGTTGTCAGCACATCCCCCAGTATCGCATTCTGTCAACGGAGACGATGGTGAAATCCATTCTTTGGACGTCTGGCAGGGTAAAGATGGAGTAACAAAAACAGCATCAGTCATGGTGCCCACTGAAACTGTAGACATCATTGTCTGGGTCCCCTGTGTTACTGTTGTCCTAGTTGTCTGACAACCTTTAACATATTGCTGAAATTTAAAAACCAATATTTAGCGCAAGGCAAATTAAACTATATATTCTATACAAATTATGTGCTGATGGGAAAATTATGGACATGTTATGAATTAAATAGAACACTATTCTTAGCTATTTCCTGCAATTATTTCTATAACTCAATGGAAAAAAAATATCAGCATTGAATGAAGTTCCACAAGTAATGGTCATTTTTTGTTCTACTGAGTACTCATATATATATATAAAAAAAATGTGACCATAATGTAATTACTTATTTGAAGATTGCTGTAATTAATACAATTTTTTCAGTAATTGATGCTTATTCTAACATTGCATTATATGTTAGACCTACAAGTTACCTTTGTTTTCACTGTCTGTGTGGTTGAATCACAAAACCCTGTCTGTTGAACATGTCCCTCCTCTGATGAATCTACATCTGTTGAAAGGTTTTCCTGCTCCTCAATAACAGTGTCACTGACATCAACTGAATGGTTGCTTGAGATTTTCTTGTCATATTCAGCAAATCCATCAGCTAACACCTGCAATAATTGAAATATCTTTAATTTTCTATTATAAATATTAATGTTTCATCTGCATGCATATAGGCCTTTAGATGCATATGTATGTATATGCATGAAATCTGACAGAGTTTGTGAAAAGGTGTTTATATAATAATTCAGAAATGTAACTTTTTTTCCATCTAATTATCTAAATAACATGTCATGACATATATATATCATGACTTGAGTAAATCAGGTCCAGTACACTCTGCCGATTGAGCTATATAGCTATAAAGACCTATATAGCTATATACACATAGAGCTGTATGGAGCTACATTTTCTCAGATTTCAAATTTCATTAAATTAAAGCAAAGTCGCATAAAACAATAAGGTTATGGTAATGTTGACTACAAAAAGCATACATTTAGATGTTGATTTTCATTTTTCATAAATGTAAAAAAAAATCCGATTTCTTTACATTATTATTTTTTAAAAACAATACTTATATTTAATGTCTTTTGTTATCAACCTAATGATACAATCTTCTTTTAGAAGCGACTTTGTTCCGTGTTGCTTATAAAACAAAATCACTTGAAAATAGCTCAAATGACCTATTTCAGATCAATATATTAAAGGTCTTTTCAGCTATATAGCTCAATGGGCAGAGTGCACTGGACCTGTAAATGTCCACTAATATTGAATTATTATAAAAAGAACAGCTTTTATATTAACTTTCATGGCATGCAGTAGAAATTATTGGCTATTTTATTTCCAACGCGTGTACTCGTTTATATTACATTAGATTTATGGGAAGTTTTCATGATTTTTTTTTTTCTGGAGGAAACTAAATTATAGAAGGGAATGTTCCAATGTTTTCCATTCGACATATTGTATTCGTTTCAGTCTGATTTGAAAAATAAAGAGATAAATTGTCTAAATATAATTAAACAAAAATCACTTCAACGCACCCTTCGCTTTTCCCGTTTCTTGAATGCAGGTCTTGGCTCTGACGTGATGAACGGCGATGTCTTTCCGTCTTTTTCCTTCCTCGAAAATAGTGTAGGAACAGCTGTCTTCTCTAATCTAAGTTTCTTAAAATCAGCGAAACCACAAGATTGTTGTGCCCTAGGGTCTCTCGTGAAGCAGTCATACGTAAAGTGGTCTGAACATACCACGGATGTAGGATAGGGAACCCACATGTTGTCAGAAGCTGGTCCAGATCGCTCGTCGACCCTGTTCATTTTCTTTACCCATAGCTTCAATAAATTTTGCTTTTTCGGAAAACGAAAAAAACTGCAGTTATCACCTGTTCTGTTGGTGCACCCTGCAACCACGCAGTTCACCATAGTGACTCAAAAAAGTCCAAAGCAGCAAATAACGGTACAGCTATCGTGAATTTTTACACNCAGAATAACTTGAAGTCAAGACACTGATATTTTGCCTGTAGCTTTATTTTATTCCACTTTTAAGGTTACAATTGTGAGATTAATACCAGGTGAGTGATGCAGGCCCATTGGGCCTCTTGTTCCATATTTGGTCTGAAGCATCCTTGGGTGAAGGGGAACTAATTTTGTATGAACGGTGGGTCTGGCCTCCCTGGGACCTGAGGGGCGGGGCCCAATAGGGGAAATAGAGGTAAAACCTTTACAATCCTTCTTCTACCATAGAGATTAAGGGTTTTATCCTAATTTAGTCGGGAGTATCCTTGGGCAAAAGGGACTCAATTTTGTATAAACGATGTGTCTGCCCCCCCCCTGGAGGCAGAGAGGTGGGGCCTAATAGGGGAAATATAGGTAAAACCTTTAAAATCCTTCTTCTACCATAGGGATTAAGGGATTTTATCCTAATTTAGTCTAGAGCACCCTTGGGCCAAGGGAACTCGATTTTGTATAAGCAGTGGGTGTGGTATCCAAGGGGGCAGAAGGGCGGGTCCCAATAGGAGAAATAGAGGTAAAATCTTTAAAATCCTTCTCCGACAATCGGGATTAAGGCATTTTATCCTTATTAAGTCTGGCGCATCCTTGGACTCGATTTTGTATAAATGGTGGGTATGACCCCCCTAGGGGCAGAGGGATGGGGCTCTGTTTGAAGTTTGTTCTCACTCATGATCAAATTTGTTACCTGTTGAGAGCTTTTAAATATAATTGTGATTAAATAAAGCATTCAATATTGGTACGAACACGTATTAAAATCCTATATTTCTGTGAAAGCTTGTGCTTATTCATGTATACATATATTTGTAATACCGGGTAATCTGATGAAATATAAAATCATAATTGTATTATCTTTATTATTGTTTTGTTTACCAGCTACAGTACAAGAATATATTGTATTATTGATACTGTTATTGTAATTATAATTATATGAAACATATTCAAACTTTTGCAACTTTTTCTATGCATGTAAATTGAGAAGTTGAATGACAAAAAATAATAAACTTTTTAAAAGATAACCAATTAATATATACAATGGTTCACTTAAAATATAATAAATGCAATTGATTTGGACGGTCAATGAAACATATTCAAACATTTACAACTTCTTCTATGCATATAAATTATGTAGTTGAATAACAAACCAAAGATGGATTGTTTGAAAAAATAATCAATTTATATAAAAAAAACACTTAAAATGTAATAAAGGCGATTGATTTTGGCTGTCAATGAAACATTCGAACTTCTGCAACTTCGTCTATGCATATAAATTGTCTAATTGAATAACAAAACAAAATATATAAATTGTCCAATTGAATAACAAAACAAAATATCAAATTTTTGAAAGAAAATCAATTGATATACAATTGTTCACTTACAAATAAATGAAATTGGTTTGACCTGTCAATAGCAGTAATTTTCACTTTTTTTAGTTGGTTCAAATTTGAAACTAAGGTCACAGTATGGCTTCTAGTACAACATCTAAAATTCACAGAGAGTGATAAAGGCCAGTTATTTTTTTTCTTTATCTTAATCCTCCACGTAAACTCACAGAACTTTTTGTAGTTTCCTTGTTGTCCCTTGCAAGCTTATTCAGCTCCTCCCCCCCCCCCCCCCCCCCCCCCACAGTAGCATGGCCCCTTGTTACTAAAAATAGATGGATAATGTTCTCCAAAATAGTGTCGGAGCTTACATCACCAAAGTAAAACATTTTGTCGCTGTAATAATTCACCATGAATTGTTTCATAATATTTCATTTAAGGGATCAATATAGAATGTTGTAGCCATTAGTGTTCACTTCAATCAGGTTTCTCAAAGTTAACTCCATTTCAACAAATAGAATGACACTTCAATCCACATCCGTCTATTATGGAAGTCCACACTTTAAACCTTACTTCAAACGTTGACGAATGATTGGTGTCGATTTGAAGTAGGAATAGAGCATTTCATGGAAAGGGCTTTGAGCATGTTGCCAAAAATATAAACCAGTATTTTCTGGTATTGATCTGTCGGCTGCAATTTACGTTAATCTGCATTTGTAAAATATTTGCCTACAATTCTAACATGAGTGCTTGCAGAAAGTTGTGAACCGAATTTAAGTCTGTGTATAAATCCACATACTGGGTTCTAAGCTCAGTGTTGATGCGAGTGGACACTTTCAATCATGTGTCAGAAAAAATGTCTCGAAAAACAGAAATATTTTTTTTTAAAAGAGGAGTTATCTAAAGTAAAGTCACTCTAACTGCAAAACATCTTCCTCCAAGAAGTTGATGAAGATCATTAGTCTTTAAAGAATTCAGAGAAGGTTTATACGTTTCAGTGAAAACAGTTGATGACAACCAACTATATGTAGCTTGAATGGGTGGTTTGGTACATCAGTGCTGGTGGTGAGGTTTAACTAAATTTGGTCTTGTGCATCCTTGGCCCAACCCTATAGAAAATGTCATTGGAATTCCATTGTTTTCCAGTGGTATTTTCATTGGAATATCATTGGTAAATTTCGCTGGAATACTAGTCAAACCAGTGGAATTTCCATTGGTATTCCAGTTGTATTAACATTGGAATACCAGCGAAATCCACCACTGGAATTTCACTGGTATCGCCAGTGGTAAATTTTGCTGAAATACCAATGGAAGTTCCACTGATTACCAATGGTATTCCAATGGTTATATACCATTGTTAATTCCACTTAAAAACTGGCTGCTCTACGTAATCTTCAAATGGAACATAAACCGTATATAACCTTAAATCTATCTTTAAAAAAAAGATAAATTGGACGAATTTGAAGAAGATGAGGCCTGAGCCTGCTCAGGACTTCTGATGGGTATTCGGCTACTTTAACTTTTCTTAACATGAACCAACACAGGAGGATTGGACACCGTCACGGTCTGGGTTGTTTTAGCTTGGACTGGAGAATTTGTAATAGATGATATGGTCTTTCTTTTTTCCCAGTATGTCGGTGAATATTGTCATTTTCCGCTTGGTGTCTGTTGATCTATTCTTCAGAGCAGTCTCCGTTGTTGGCGGAGGTTTCTTCATAACCACTTTAACCTTTTCCTTCCTGGTTGATTGGAATTCCATAAATTCCCTCTGTTCCACGGGGCCAAATTGTATGTTGGACCTCTTCACTGTGGTGATGGGGGCCCCACAGCCATGCTTGGTGTCTGGTCGTGCCATCAGTCTTTTGCATTTATGACACATAAAAGCAAAACTAGAGTGCTGGCCCGTCATGTGACGTTCCACATGACTGTGTTGAGGACTTTTAAAATTCTAGCAAATTCCACAGATATATCTCTGTACCTGGAAAGACAGACTTAGAACCCAAGGTTATAATCTGATAAAAATCATCTGTTACATGGCTCCTCCTGAACATCTGAATGTGCCGCGGTCAGGGTCGCGTTTAGATGAACCAAGCAGAGGCACGCTGGCAGCAAATCGGAATATCATGGTTGATAGATAAATAGCGAGGGGTATCGAACAGATTAGTTTTCCAAAACAAATATAGCGGCGGGAACTGACGTTTCTACGACGCCAAGGAAAACGTACCCATTGGGTAATAATTGCGTAGGCAACACCGCCATTTAGTCTTTCTTCTCTAATAAAGCTTCGAATATCTTTTTCTGTTCTGGTTTCAGACGATCAATCTCAAATAACTTCAGAACTTTCGCATCATTCTCATCAATGTCCGCAATGTTTGTTACAACTCCGAGCGCCCTTTTGAAAGAGGGTCTCTGATTGGTCAAAATTTAATGAGTATTTATAAATATAAAGGTCACCTGAACGTGACCCTGACCGTGGCACACTCAGATGTTGAGACGAAGTTAACGAAGCCATGTAACATATGATTTTAATCAGATTGCCAAGGTTAAATTTGACACTTTCAATATATGAATATCATATAATACCGATTTGAATTGCATTCACTTGTAAAACTGAAAGCAATAATTGAACACCATTTAATAACAAAATTAATCATCTTATTTTAGAAAACGTTATTTCAGAGAAATGAAATTTAAATATGGCATATAATTATTTTTTCATAAATAAGCAATTCCAGCCCAAAACAATGAAAACTATTTATGCATTACAGGAACCTATTCTATCAGGTTATGCATAAAGCATATGCATTAAAGCAAAACATTAACGTATTCGATGCGAAAAAAACGTATGCATTAAAGCATCATATTCTATTAACGCATTGAAAATGCTTTAAAAGGGCATATGTGATCAACGTAAAATTCTGCATCAAAGATATGCACATCAATATTACCTTTAATGTTTACGTTGTGTAAAAGATCCAAACACTAGTGAAATAAACATTCTAAGTTGGGTACACAGGATCCTCAAACTTATATAAAGATATACGCATTGCCAAATTACTGGTATTCGAGACACACACAACATAAAATATACTATAAAATTATGTATAGTTTTGCGTGCCAGCAAATCAAGGAACTAATGCATGAGGCTAATATCATGATAGGTATATCAAACAAAACCGTGTCATTCACCATAATTGCACCAGATAAATGAATGAGACGAGTATATCTCTAGGCTATTGCAGCACGACATTTGGCATTTAAACTTGTCTCGTGACATTTAACATTTCATTGTGTGTAGGTACCATTGATATGGTAACTGTTGAAATTGTAATAGCAGTTTTTATTTGGTAGTTTGAAAAAAACCAGTTAACAGTTTTGTGACTTATATGTTTAACACACACTTTATATATGTTGCTGGATCCAGTGCACAGTCTCAGCTTTCGCTATTTGTAACATCACGTTATGCAAATTGAACATATTTATATGGTATGCATTCTCCCTGAAAGTTTTTGTAGGAATGATCGACTCATGGT